CATATATCAGTGAACGACTACAGATTTTTTCATTTTTCGTTATTTTTATGCTTAAGTTTTTGTTTTACTTTAAATTGAATATAAATTTAAAAAAACCTGTTAAAATCACTATTATTTTTCGGTTATTTTAAAATTTTAGTTTTTAATTGTCCTCTCCCCCATCCAGACATAAATCCCAATGCTCGATGTTCAAGCACCAGATGAAGGGCAGATTTTCACCCTGATTCCAAAACAGTGTAATATATCTATGTAGAGCAAAAGTGACCCGAGTTAGAGGGGGCTTCAGAAACACGGACAGACAGACAGAATTTGCTGTTTATTTATTTAAATGACATTAAAATAACCCAGACTATTGACTGGCAAACAAATCGCCGGAAATCGTATAGAAAACGGATCAAGTCTACAAAAAAGACAAACGGGCGTAACATGAGGTTGTTTCTTCTCACCGGATTTATTTTAAAGATTACAGCGAGGCGACCCGAAGAGAACTAGAATTCCTACCTGGTTTCATTATTAGCGGATATGCTCTTGACAGAATAAGATATGCCCTATTTACATTGTTCTCGTCGTTGTCCTCATGTTTATTTCCACATTCACGATGTTTCGGCTGTTGTACGCTCCGGCTTTCTTCAGGTGATATTTGTTGGAATTTCGAACCGAACTCTTTATTTAGTCCATGTTGTTTTTCCTCACCCAAGTATTTTCGTCCTCCTCCGAAATCATCCTCAGGATTGAATTGCCAAGAGAAACTTATTGTAACTGTGATCGTTGTGATGGTGATTTTTAAAAACATGCGTTTTTTTTTTAAAAAAAGTGTCCACAATATAAAGGAGCTAACCAGAGATGACAGAAATGTTATTCAAATCCATTTTAAAACAGAGAAGATCGAAAGTACTTGTTTAAGGAAAAACTACTGCGCCTTCCTTGATGAATTTCAACTTAACATCAAAAAGCGAACTAGAATGTAATATTTTAAAAACAAATTAACATAATTTGTCTATATTATTCAATTAAACATGTTTGAATATATATATATATATATATATATATATATATATATATATATATATATATATATCTTGTTGTTGTGTCCTCCCTCTAAAGTGTGTATGTTGGACTCTTTCGCCTACTATAAAATTAGTAGGAGAGAAGGCCTTGGGGGAACAGTAGAACAGATTGTTCATCTGTCGAACTCTCTGCCTCGACAGAGAGGAACTCAGATGAAGCTTTGCGAAGGGCAAAGTTTTGTCCGGGGAGGTAGACAGTCATTGAACCCCTTTTATGCGGCTTCAAAGGGAATAATTTTGGCCGAGCGGTTCGGATCACACCAAATTAAACTCGGCCTTGTGCCACATCCTACCTCGTGAGGAGGCTGGTAAATATAACAGGCGAATAGACTGAACGCTGAGTCAACCGACACACACTCACTGGTCGGGTAATACTCTTCTGTTGTACTTACAGTTTAATATATGATATATCTGCAACACTTGTTTTGTTGTTTTTTAACCATTTACTTGGTCAGAACAAATATATATATATATATATATATATATATATATATATATATATATATATATATATATATATAACGGCCTGGCGATTGCGTCTAGCATGAAAAAGTCTGTCGCCTCTGAGTGTTGGCTTCAATATTCACTTTTATATTTATATTTACATACGCTCTATCTCTGATATTGAGCACTTTATCCCTTAAATATACCACACCTTAAAACTATATTTCTGCATATATATATATATATATATATATATATATATATATATATATATATATCTGTGTGTGTGTCTGTGTAAGAAGGTGAATGGATTAATCTAAAGGAATTAAACTATTTAGAACTGTCGTGCCGTTGATGCATTCCTTTTGAGAAACGTGTGAAAGAACTGTACAGCTCAAGTGTGTCCAAGCTAAACAACGTCCATTTTGAAAATTCCAGAGTCTGAAAGATGCAAACAATGAAACAAATTCTGCACATTTCTGCATATACATACTTAATACATAATAGCCGATAGTCATTTCCACGGAGGTCAATGGTTAGCAAGTTTGTCTCGCTAGATCAGTTAGAATTTAAATTTGAGATCGGTATCGCTGGATACGCCATACTTTCGGCCTTGTGCCACATCTAAGCTAAGCCTGGAAAACCATAATAAGATCTGTAGAGCTACATGCTAACAGGCATCATATGATATGTGTTTGGGCACTTCGACGTAGTGCAATTGTTAGCAAGGGTGCCTCGTTAAAAAAAAGTCTGACTCAAAATGTGTTAGATCTACACTGGGTTCTCCGCAATTTCGGCCTTGTGCCACATTTAAACTACGCTTAGAAAATCACTATACATAATGGCCGGCAACTCATTTCTGAGTGCATCTGTCTGCTAAGGCGGTCTCGCAATCGCTGTTCTAGATGCCGACTCTGTCGCATTTATGTTTGTTTAACGCCGACAGATATCACATGTGGTTCGTACTGCAACGATAACGAACGGACCTTAGTTAAAGATTTTGAGATAGACCGTGATCTTGAGTGATCAGTAGTTTGAGAAGGACCAGTTTCCTTAAACCCTCAGTCACGATGACTTGTGACTTCGTACTGGCACAATCATCGGGGGTTTCCGAAATTACACGATTTCACTTACAAGGCTTGGGTGAACACGTGATATGGTTTTCAGGCCCCTTTTCAAAGTGCCACACGCTGAGCTCACCTGCCCAAGCTGATGACATCAAGAAATCCTCTCACTGATAAATCGAACTGGTGAGATTCGTAGCTACATACAAACATGAAAATGAATGAACGTTGCTGGCATTCCAACTCAGCTCGTCGTTCTCTGCTCCTAATTATCATACCACCTGTATATGCTATCGAATATAAAGAATACTTTAAAATAAAATGGGTTTGTTGGAAGGTACATATCTAGTAGACGGGTGGTGTAATGGATTGCAGCTCGGATTGAGAAAATGGAGAGCCGAGTTCGAATTCCAGTTGAGTTCATATAATCATGGAAAACACATGAACACATCTCTTCTCACCCTAACTATGGTTAAATAGTAGAACAGACTGGCTTCTATAGCGCTGGGTGGCAACCAGTCTAGGAAAAGGAAGACTCTGAATTCAAGCAATCCTGAAGAGGGTTGATCTCTGTCAGGCTATCTTGACACATCATCCAAGACACGCCACTTCTACTTCGATCGCAATACAGGTGAGGCCACGACGACTCTAACGAGTTACGGGACTCGTAGTCGACATCACTAAACCATTTACCACAGGCATTGGCGACCAGTGAGTCGATCTATGGCTCATAACAAGGTGGCTCGCACTACTAAAAAGATTATTTGTATTTAGGTACCTCAGGTATTTCCCACGCAGAAGACCATATGCGTAAGTATGTACCTTAGAATGTTCATTTTCTTTGGAGAAAGTTTTTTCTTTCCATAATTAGAAAAGTGAAATCTTTTTATAATATTATCATTGATGACAGTGTGATTTACACATGTCTCTGTAAGTGATTTATTTCTAATTTATTCATTTGAAAAAAAAATATTTCTCTTTAAAGAAAAAAACAAACTATTATTCTTCAAAAGTAAAGGATATTTAGACATGATCTTCCATAGTGAAAACCGCCAATAGGTTAAAATGATGAAACGTTATTTTCAACGAATGTTTACAAAGTCAAGAAACATTGTATTCATCTTTGTTTATGTATGTGGTTATGTATTAGAGAGTATGTGAGTGAACAAGTGCGAACGAAACAAAATTTAAAGAAACGTTATTTTCCTTATGAAATTAAGCAGGCCATTCAAAAAAGACCAAAAGTTTCGCATGTGACACGCATGCCGCAGTTTGTCTAAGACTAATTTAACATATAATATACTAGTAGGTTTCGCCCTCTCGTCATCTCTTCGCAAAGTAAAATATATTCACTACTTGAAATCTTTGAAACAAAAATTTTACATGAACATTTCATCCATAAATTGACGTGTTATAGTTAAGGAAATTTTACAAATAGATGACAACTTGTTGAAGACCAAATAAAATGCAAATTTCAAACATTTTTCTGCACAATATTCGTAAACAGAACTATTTTTTATATTAAAATCAAAACAATCCCCGAATTAAAGAACTGTAACGAAGGGCAGTTAATTAATGAAATAAACTTTTAAAATCAATATGCAAATTAGTTAAACCTGAAGAGTGATATTGCCTAGAGTTAGGAGTACAGCGGGGTTTTTTTAATCCCAAAGTTCGTAGGAGAGTTGAGCTCCATTTTCGCATTTATTCATATAGATTCCATAATATAGGTTTTACTCAATTAGCCATTATTTTTCTCTAACTCTTCAAGTGTCGAATGTATAACTAATTCTAATTTCTGTTTTTCCATCTTTAGACTATATTAATTTTATCTTATAGATCTTCTCATGTTCTGTCACCCATAAAATAATTGTTTGTACGGAAAATAAGGTTCTATGTACATCAAATCGTCTTTAAATTAAGTGGCAACAGAAGAATTATCGTTAAACTTTTAAAAGGTAAGATTAAACATTAATTCAATACTTAAATGCAGCGATCAATTTTGAGTTCATCTGTAGTTTATTGATGCATATCGCATCTACTCCTCCCTGGCTATTGTGATAAAGGCCAAACCAAGAGTCCTCAACAGGATCTAGCTTAAATGCCGCCCGATAACTTAAAATTTTAAGCTAGCTGAAATTTTGAATACAAAAGGAAAATAAGAGTTACCCACTTTGAAACATTAAAGAACTGATAATGTCTAGTATAATATATTAATATATGTTTTTAACTTTGTATAATCTGGCAACCCTGAATCTGAGCTCAACGAAAAACAACTTTTCTAGGGATTTTAAATGAACTGAAATCATTGAAATCGGACCAATGGGAGCAGAGGAGTTGCTTGGACACACACACACACACACACACACACACACAAACACACACACACACACACACACACACGGTACTTTATATATAAGATTGCTTACGGTCAAATCACGCTGAAACACCGGTTCTCGTTCGATCACCGAAGTTAAGCATCGTAGAGCCAGGTCAGTACTTAGATGGGGGACCGCTTGGGAACACCTGGTACTGTAATCCCCCAAAGTCCAACCCTTACCTCACAGTCGGTGGGGGGGTGTAAACGGTAGTGTCAGAGCTATGCCGCCCGGAACTTCGTTCCTGGTAGGGCCACCCAAGGCGGACAGGTCTGACACACGCCGGCTAACAAGGGCTCTGGTGAAAATCCAAGGAGCGTCTGCATCGGCAACCGGCGGCTTCTGGTCGTTCCTGTCTCTGCGTCTGTGGGAACCCCGCGGCAAGCAAGAACGTTATCCGAGTAGGCCTGGGTACCCTACTTCTGTAATTTATCCCAAGAATCTTCTTCTCATAACAGGAAGAAGCCGGCTCAATCCGCCCAGGGTGAATGCCGCATCAGTACAGTACAGTATATATAAGATTATGTCTTGTGTAACGTCATCATATTCCGTATTGCCTTTTTGTTACTCCAGCTCTTTTGCTTATCTTAAAAAAACCTGAAACACCCTTCACCAATATTAAAAATCTGAGACAGTATTAAAAAATAACGTACATTATTAAAACATTAATTACAAATTCTTCTACTTTATTCTCCAATGCGACCATAGTCCTTGATAAACTTTTAGGAGCAAAAATAATCACAGCGGGTTATTCTACTAGACCACGGCTCGACATAACTGCACCCTGAGTTCTTGCGAGAAACGACGCTCAGCTGATTTACGATCAAGAGAAATCCTCATGTCACGTTTCGATCATTATTCCTTGGCCCCGCTCCATGGACTGTGTCAATTCATGACATGATTCCTCCATTTCCTAGACAATTGTTCACAAGCAGAATAAGAAACGATTACATCCTTCCTCGTTTTAACAGTTCATTATACCAAGTGACCTCACTTGGCGCACGTACCAGGTCGCTTTGCTCGTCACACCTTCAGGCGGTCTATAACGTATTCAACCATGGCTAACAAGTCGTTATAGAATCCAGATCGATCTTTAATATCGCTTGTAAATAACTGAAGCAGGCATATTCATTGTACGTGAGAGCCGATACAGAAACCATCAATAGCTGACTAATATCCATATTTCACTGCGGAGAGGTTATTAACAATAGAAAGATCAGAACTGGGTAATTATTTTTATTAATTCATGAAAGAGACCATACTCTTCAAGTCAGACATTTAATAGTGGTACAAATATGTCTAGTTTAAAGTAAAGGCTTTGAGGTTATACTAAATAAGTAACAACCTAGACACACACACACACACACGAACACACACATATATATATATATATATATATATATATATATATATATATATATATATATATAAAAAGGCAGGATGTGTGTGTGTGTGTGTAACGAATACACGGCCGCAATTTTCGACGGATTTGCACCAAAATTAGCGGAAAGGCCAAGACCGACATTGCATTTCCCAACTGTCATCGATAGTGAAAATAATCGATGTTTTCATGCTTGTACGGCAGTTTTCATGTAGTTTGCGGCCATTTTCTACTGGCCAGAGTGAGAGCCAATAGCTGGCTGCCACGAATAGGCAGGACGATTCTATTGGCTAGCGTGAGAGCCAACAGCTGACTGACACGAATGTTAACTAACATGCTAGCATGCAAAAAAAAAAAAAAATCGATAGCTGCATTCGTCACAAGTGGGAAAAAATTTAAATTTTCATGGCGCTTTACTCCAATTGGCTCATTCGCTTGCTTAAACTCAACGTTGATTCTGATTCCGCAGAACTGGGTTGGGTGTGAAAAAGTATTTATTGTTAACATTCTTTTTTCATTCGGTTTATCCAGTTACGAGTCCTTTTTTACGTTTTGTGTTCATTTTGTTTAGTTCTTTTTTCGTAACAGATTTAATGTTTAGTATAGAGCTTAGAAAATATTCGCAGTGTGAGATAGGCAAGAAGTAAGGCATGTAGCAACATCAGCACGGCAAAGGGCACTCCTTTAAAGGCAAGGAAGGGCAAAAATATTTTAAGTCAAGTGATAGCGATTGCTGTATGAGTCGTATGAATTTTGAATCAAGCACGGGCAACGCCGGGCCATGCTGCTAGTATACTATAATTATAAAACTGCTATTGGTCTGATTTAAATTAGACCAGGAAACAGCTGTATTAAAAAGTGCTCACTACGCATATAAATAAAATGAAAAACTTAACGCGCAGAGCTTTTAAATTTAAAGAATTAGGAAATCAGTCAATCAAGCTACCTCGTTTCAACCTTTCGGTATCCTGAGACGATATAAGCCAAAAATATTTAACCTTATTATCTGCAATATTTATAAGCGAATGTGACATATATGAATCCCACAGTTTATAATGTTTTGGCTTATATCGCATGAAGATTCCGAAAGATTGAAACCAAGGTAGCGTGATTGACTAATCTCCTAATTGATATATATATATATATTATTATATATATATTACATACTTTTCCACGAAAAGAATAAACACAAACTAAAAATTCTCGAAACTGTTTATATCTGAAAATTGAAGCCAAACCTTAATAAAATTAATTAAATGTTTTAAAATGTTTTAAATGTGCACAATAGATAGTTTTTAAACGTCAATGTTCATACTAATAGGTCTTCACTTTATTTTTCGACCACTCATATCAGAAAATCTTTCCACAACATACCTAGTTACCTCCCCTTAAGCGGTGCCTGTTAGCCACGCCATGACACAGCGTTCCTGAACCCACATATAAGAAAGTTCATTTTCCGATGAACACAACAATTTCTGTCTTTCACAACCATGAACATGACAATACTTACCCTATAATTAACAATACCCTGATGATGACAATATGCTATGTCGAAAGTAATCGGAGAATTAATACAATATGAACCGGCACCACTTTTTCCTCTTGTCTTTCAATAACCACACAAAAAAAGCTTATCCGTGAATATGAAAGGATCCTATCAAGAATAAGTAGACAGAATATGTCTAATTTATTTAACGAAACCTGTCTTAATGAAAATATGCTGCTGAAATATACACATTTCATTTCTCTCTTCTCTCTCTCTCTCTCTCTCTCTCTATATATATATATATATATATATATATATATATATATATATATATATATATAGTACAGGTAATAAAACCGTTGGTATATAATCCAAGTGGATCCTAGTAATATAAAATATTAAAACTGATCCCCAAAAAGAGCTCAATGTATTTATTATAACAGAGCATATCAATAGTATTACACACACACACACACACACACACACAAAACATACAAAATTACCTCATATGGAGAGATTGATCTATTTGAACCGACAAAAACTACGTCAGTCTTATTCAACTCCGGTGTATAGACTGAGGTCGTGTCGGAATTAGAAATTTAACTTTGTCAGTCGTCGAAAAAATTGATAACGAATTCATCCATTTCGATGTTTCAGTCAGACAATCTACCCGAGACGGTGATTAGGGGAGGGTTGAAGGTTATAACCTTAAAGGAAAGGGGTTATGTAAAATTAAACCCGGATACTAACGTTATGACATTAAATTGGGGTTATATGAAGAATATGTTAATTTGAAACTAAAAGAGGGTTGAAATATATATATATATATGGTATAAAAGGTTAGCTTCCCTATTAAAAGAATGATACTGCTCGATATTATATATATATATATATATATATATATATATATGTGTGTGTGTGTGTGTGTGTGTGTGTGTTCAAACGCAATCGTCAGGCTTAACGCCGCTGGGTGTTGACTACAATGTCCCCTTGTGCGTATATATATATATATATATATATATGAACTAGGAATATTTATGCAAGAGTTATTGCAAAGCGAATGTGTGGTTCTAGACTTCTGAAAATTCTAGTCTATAGTCAGCTTCTCGATAGTCAGCATAATGTTGGAAAACTCCTGAGATACAAAGATAATCTAAGATTAATTGAAGTGTAGCAAAAAATCTTGGATGAGATCGTCCAAAATATGTGAAAAGCGGAGAAAATTTTACGATGCTGGAATCAATAAGCATGTGCAATCTACGACGGAGCCTCAGAACGAACTGAATCACGGGCAAATTCAATTAATTTGCGGCAGATGTGGGACATCTTGTAAGAGCCGTTCCGGACTGGTGTCACACAGCAAGTACAAACATAACGAGAGGCGGTATGGAAATAGTTACTCTATGACCTTCAAGAGTCAAAAACGACTAGTGAGTTTATTACACGCGTGCACCCCCCACAGACATGCACACATGCACACAGTCCGTTCTTTCTCTCTCTCTCTCTTTCTCTCTCTCTCTTTCTCTCTCTCTCTTTTCCCTGTCGATTTTTTGGAACAATTTGACCAAAAATAAATTTGCTCCCGTTTATTGAAAATATTCCTCGTTAGCATATATAGTGTGTTTTTGCAAAGGTCACTACTCGCAAAAAGTTGCGATAAAAATCCGTAATAGATCCATCTCATGGATGTTCCAAGAACTGTAGTTTAAAGTAAGAGATGTGATATTGGGTTACGGTGATTTTCCATAATAAATCTCACCCCTGGAATCACCTAAGTGACATTAGGGGAGATGTATTGTTCTGTTCAGTTGATTATATATTGAGACTTGCTCTCAGCCGATTCTACATTTGTTCAAATGTTAATCGGTCGTTCGATAAGAATTTCAAAATCCAATGCAACCGAATTGATTTCATCCAAAGAATTCACATCATAATCTTCAGCGAGAAACATAAAAGTTACTTAATCTTTTTTAGGGGCTGAATACCACCCTCGATGGGAAGTGTAGTCGTAAAACATCTCAGTGTTCAGGACATAGCCAAATGACGCGTTAAAGTAATCTGAAGTGGTTTCACCGGCCACAGATATAAAAAGACCATTTTATGGTCATTAATTACCAGAGCACTGTTATTAGACCGAATTGATCACTAATATAAACAATATCTGCTTAACCCAGGTGTATGCCAGGAATGAATTATCAGTAACAACACCAACTATTTATATCTTTTCTGCTAATTAACCCAAAATTATTTAAAGTTACTTACCGCAACTATTAATTCACCCCCGCCAGAAGTTAT